CTCAACTCACTACACCAGATAATGGCTTTTCTGTGTTTGAGGTCTCTGCTCAGTTTGTTCTTTCTTCACTGTAAGTTTTGTACTGTCAGTGAATATTTTGATATTCCAAGGCTGCCCAATGCAGGTGGAATAAATATGATGAAATTATTGGCATAAATGGCACAGCTGAAAATATATAACTATTTAATTTATTTAAAGAAAGAACAAAGGCCATGAGGGTCGTTAGTTCTCATGAATATTATCGTATAACAGTCTATGAAGCAGGCTGGAAACCTGGGGCCGTTTTCTGTTACAACGTACAGCGATAGTTTTTCCTGTGCTCTTTGGCCAAGGGGTGCAATTCTATCCCTAGAATCTCGGACATTTTCAGCTGAAAGAGACCTTTGGTATCATCTACTTCTAATCTAACCCTCTCATTTTTCAGATGGGGTCTTGGGGGTCCAAATAGTTAAGTGATTTGTTCAAGGTCACCAGCCAGGAAGGGGCAGAGCTGACACTGGGACCCAGGGCTCAAAGCCCAGGACTAGAGCTTCTCCCAGCTCGGTGGCCTGTTTCTCTCTGCGTCTGTGCCTCCATCTAAAGCCAGGGTCGTGGGGGCATTGCACAGGCCCTCACCACCACTGGAAATACCAGTCAGGCATGTCTTGGCGACTAGGGACAATGCTAGAGTTCCTTTGATGACAAGATATTGGGCATCTAGCAGCATCTTGGGTTCCTTTGCTTTAGTGTGGAGACCATAAATGGAATTCTGACTACATTAGATCCCAGTCATAAAATGGTGGGAAAGGTGTGGGGCGGGGGGCTCAGGAAGGATAGGTACCTAGGAAGCCCCGCCCATTGTGGAGGTGGAGCTGAGGTTGGGGTGGGGATGGGGAGAGCTTCCTCTTCCTCTTCTATATACCCAGCCCTCCTGCCTTTCTGTGTCACTTCTTTTCCCTATCTAGGCTGCCTGATGTTCATTTTAACTGGATTTCACCTGCCTAGAAAAGGAGGAGGGACACACAAAATAATACAATGCAATCTGAATTTGCTGTGTCTAGAACAAGTTCAGAATAGTAATATTTAGTGGCAGGTCAGACTTGGAAAGAAAGAATACCATAAAATAAAATGTAGCGAGATTAGTTAAAATGAATGTGAAGAGTTTTTGTTTTAAAATTGCCTGTTAATTCCTGGTTTAATATTTAGCTGTATATACACTGTGCACGCACACACACACTCACACTTATACTTACACATACTTCTAAATCCTATACAGTCATCCCTCTGTATCCATGGGGGACTGGTTCCAGGACCCCCTGAGGATACCAAAATCCAAGGGTGCTCAAGTCCCTGATATAAAATAGTGGAGTGTTTGCATATAATCTATGCACATCCTCCTGTATACTTTAAATCATCTCTAGATTACATATAATACATAATAAAATGTAAATGCTGTATGAATAGTTGTTATAGAATATTGCTTTTATTTTTAAAAATTTGTTATTTTTTATTGTTGTATTGTTATTTTTTTCAAATATTTTCCATCTGAGTTGGTTGATTCTGCACATTAAGGAAGACCAACTGTACCTCATTCACTAAGCCAGGTTCTAGATCTAGCTGCTCTGTAAGTCCTTCCCTGGTTAATTCTTTCCTAGACTAATTATTCTTGTCTTCAAGTTTCTAAAGTACATGTAGTCTTTACATGAACTTGTTTTCTCCCCAGTTACAATGAGAATTCTACTTAACTGCTGTTGTATAAAATGCTGGGCACACAGAAGGAGTCAGGTCCTTAATCCTGCTGCAGCTCAAGAGTGGTGTCCCTGAGGACTGGCCTGCTCCTCAGGCCATCAGCTTGGAGCCTTGGACAAGGCTGCATATTTGGACCACAGTAATTATCAATCTCATAGGATTGCCTTCCCTGAGTTGAACTGAATTTTAAAACCTTGGCATTTTTCAAGGGTTGAGAAAATTAATTCTCTACTGCATTTGCTATTAAAAAAGAGTTGTGGGAGGACATTGTCTATCACATCACTCAAGGTCCCTTATATAAAGTCCTGCATTTTTTTTAATAATTCCATGGCAAAAAAAAAAAGCCCTGTTTCTGCTGAGAATCTGTCATGCTTCTGGAAATCAGAGTACAATATATATTAGCTTTCTTTCCATTTTAGAGAATCATACATCTGACAGGGTTTCCCTTTTTCCCCTGACAGAAAGCTCAGAGACATTCTAGGCTTAATCACATACATAGGTGTTATGTATGTTGACATATGTATTTTCCTTGTCCAGGGTTTGTAAATTTCTTTTTAGATTTTCATAGTTGCCATTTTAAAGCTTTTTTTCTAATGACAAAAATATTTATATAGTCATTATGAATTTTGGAAAATAGAAAAAAAGTGAAATTTCCAATGCTCTGTAACTCAGCCATTTTAGCATCCATAAAGATCTGGGCATATAATATTTCCTCCTGTTTCATTAGAAATTGCAGAGTAAAAGAGTCTAGAAGTCACAGTGGCTTCATCTGTTTATTCCCTTGTGTAAAAGAAATCCTGAGACAAGCAGTCTAGGTCTGATATAATGGCTCCACGAAGTCGTCAGGGACTCACACTTCTGTCTTTCTATTCTGCTGTCCTCTTATGGGGCTCCCAACGTGACCTCAAGGTCACTTCATGGCCCAAGATGGCTGTTGGCGGTGCAACCATATCGTCAGCGCTCCAGGGATGCAGGAAGGGAAAAGGGCAGAAGAAGGGTTAACTTCCTCCCTTTTAAGGAGCCCTCCCAGAATCAGACCCGCCCCTCCAGAAAGGAGTCACATAGCTGCAAGGCAGGCTGGGGTATGAAGTGTTTTTCAGCTAGACAAATGTCCCAGGTTTCTGTTAGTGAAGATGAAGGGGAAGCTTACTACCGGAAGGCAAGCCGCAGTCTGCCCGTTTCCGAGCCTCCTCCGTGCGTGCGTGTTCAGTGACGGCGTTTCACTGAAGCCATCTCAAATAACTTGTGGGAAGAGTTGAAGTATAAATAAATATCAACATATTAATAAATATCAATAAATCAAAGGTACTATATCTTGTTATCCTATGAGCTTGGCCACTCTGCCTTTCCATAATTTTTCCCGTGCATTTATCGTTTACACATATGCTGATAATATATTTTTTGAATATTCAGTCAGTACAGACTTATCAAGGGCTAGAAGAGACTTTAGATAGTTTTCTGCAAAGGTTGCATGTTCAGATGCTTACTGGGAACATTCAGGTACCATAAATGATTAAACCGGGCCAGCGTTGAGCGCGGCAATAGGGAGTGGCGGAGACTGTGGCAACCCCGAGAGCGCATGCCCCGTCTGAAGGAGGTGGCCGCCGCTCAGCGCCACTCATTCTTGCCATGTGAGAATGCTGACTCCGTTGCAAATCTTTTGATTTTGTTTTCAAGAGAAACCAGAAACGTAGCTTTTTATCTGAAATCTCCTGGTGTTCATAACTAATACATTCAATTTGTTTAAATGACAGCTAAATGCAGCGCCAACCCAGGGCTGCCAGTGTAGGATCTGAGATGTGGTCCACGCCCCGTGTTTCATTCGGCAGCCACGCCTGGCGAGGTCAAGTGGCCTGCGTGGAGCCGGAGACTTTGCTCCCCCGGCTCCTCCTCACCACGGCCCGGTCCTCTGTGACTAACTTGTCTCAGAATATGAAAAGATAATAAGAATCTGAAGTGGGCAAGACTACTCTGATGGTTAATAGATTCTGTCCTTCAACTGGCTTTTCTTCTTAAGTCCTTTTGGCGTGGTAGAATCAGAAGAAACCTGGGCTGCCTCCCAGCTCTGCTGTTTGCAGCTGCGTGACTCGGGCAAGCCCTGGTGTCTTGCGTGTGTTTCCCGCACTGTCCGTGTTTCTGCCTGCTCCTCTCTCTTTCTCTGCTCTTCTGCCTTCAAGCAGCACCGTGTGGTGGTTAAGAGGACGGTCTCTGCGGCCAGATACGAATCCTGGCTCTCCTACCTGCCAGCTGTGTGACCTTGGGCAAGTTATGCCTCAGTTTCCTCCTCTGTAAAATGGGGTAGTAATGGCATCTACCTCCCAGGGCGTGGGAAGGGTGACATGAGTTAGTGCATGTCAAGTTTGAAGAACAGAGCTCCTCACATACACAGTGCTGCATAAACATTGGCTATTTCCCCCCCTATTCTCTTTTTTCCTTCTTCTGCTGCTTTGGAAGCCGTAGATCTTTTAGCAGGTTCTCACAGTAGGCTCGGCTCTGGTCCCCGGTCTCATAGTGAGCACTTTTAGCTCCTGGTGCCCCTAAGCAGCCAGCCTCTGGCCCTCAGTCTGGACTGAGACCAGGCAGGTGATGCAATCCCCTACTCATTGCTTTGGGCCTTGTTCTGTTTCTGGTATCTTGGTTTTTGTTTGTGTGTGTGTGTATGTTTTTCATTTTTGAGACAGGGTCTTGCTGTGTTGCCCAGGTTGATCTTGAACTCCTAGGCTCAAGCAATCCTCCCCCTCAGCCTTCCAAGTAGCTGAGACTACAGACATGAGCCACCATGCCCGGTTTGGTACCTTGGTTTTGATACCATCTGTGCCTTTTACTTGTCTCAGCTCATATTTTTTTCTGTAATTGCTGTGTGTTTGGAAGAGAACGAATGAGTCAACTGGCTGGACTGTCTTGTTGCAAAGCTTTGCTGGGTTGTTTCGTTGGTCACCTAGAGATGATGCCTGTCCTGTTAGGCGTTTCTGAACATTGGTTGTGGGATACAGGGTAAAAGCAGTGTGCGTTTGCTCCAGCCAGAGTTATGAACGTGGCAGAGCACTCGACCTGGAAGCCAGGGAGAGCCCGTCAGTCTTGGTGGAGCCACGCAGGCTCCGCTACAGACTTGGTCAAATGGCCAAATGGCCAAGAGTGCAGCATGCGTGGTAATTAAGGAAGTTGTCTTTTTCCCTAAAGATTTTAAATACAGAGAAACTTAGACTATGCAATGTTTCATTTAAACTGCTTCTTTCTCATTCTTTAAAACATCACTATTTAATTGTTTTCAGCTTTTAGGTTAATTTGAATAAGAGATCTGACCCGCCCAGCCCAACTGTACAACTCTTCAAGGAAAGTTCCCATTTGCAGTGAGAAGAATAAGCAACATAGGTATGTATTCTTGTTTTTGCTTCTCCTCTCTGCCTCCCCTTATATAGGAAACAGTGAATAGAAGTGGGAAGGGAAGGACCTGTTTATTTTAATTTTTAGTTCATTAAATCTACTCTAGTCCAGCAAGGAAACTTGTAAAAACCACTTACTGCATTGCCCTGCTGTCTTTCCAACAAAGGTGACAAGAAGAACTTCTGTTTAAGTTCCATATTACCATCCTACAGTCAGAGAAGTTTTGGAATTTCTGATGGATTTTGGTTTTGGCCCTCCACTACTAAGTGGAGACTTAAAAATCTATATTTGCCTCATCTTGGGTATTTGTTTAACATCAGTTTGCCACACATGGCATGGCTCCAAAAAGGTGAGGGATGGTAGGTGCAAGTTAAACCCATCCAACATCTTAGTGCAGTGCTGTGTGCTTTTTTAGGCCACAGACCCCGTGGAGAATCTGATTAAAACTGCAAACACTCTCCAAAGAAAACTGCACATATGCACACTTTCACTTACGATTCTGGGACCCTAGAATCCCATAGGGCTGCAATCCGCAAGCCCCTGCAGGGGGCTGCAGACCGGTACTGGTCCTGGTCTGTGGCCTGTTAGGAACCAGGCTGCATGACAGGAGGTAAACAGTGGGCGACTGATCAGAGCTTCACCTGTATCTACAGCCACTACCCGTTGCTCGCATCACTGCCTGAGCTCCACCTCCTGTCACGTCAGCGGGGGCATCAGATTCTCACGGGAGCATGGATCCTACTGCAGCCGTGCATGGGAGAGATCCAGGCTGCACACCCCTTATGGGAATCTCATGCCTGGTGATCTGAGGTGGAGCTGAGGCGGTGATGCTAGCGCTGAGGAGCAGCTGCAAATACAGATTGCCACTAAAAGAGGTAAATAATGTAATAATAATAGAAATAAAGTACACAATAAACATAATGTATTTGAATCATCTCAAAACCACCCCCGTGACCCTCGCCTTGGTCTATGGAAAAAATCATCACCCATGAAACTAGTCTCTGGTGCTAAAAAGGTCGGGGACTGCTGCCATAGGGGACCCACAGACCCCAAGTTAAGGGTCCTTGCTTCAGGGGTTTATAGAGAGCTTTCAGGGGATGTCCCAGGAGTGAGGTGACACATCATCAGAAGTGAAGTTTTAAGAAAACTGCTTGTAAAAGTTCCATGTAGCTGAGAGTACATTCTAAGGTCTGGCCTTGATTTGAAATTGTGTCAGGTAAGTTTTTAAAAATTGGTGTCTTGCCGTGGCAGCGGAAGGCTAGCTAAGGACGCGTGATCTTCGATTTCCTTTCCTCGCTGGGTTGGGAACCCTTGCCGGAGATTGTCTGCCGTGTACTCGGGCCCTCTCTTTGCCAGTGCTGCCTTGATTTTAGAAAAGGGTGTCCGAGGCCTCTCGGGACTTGCTGCCGGCCTCGGGAGAGTTCAGTCAGCTCTACCCCACACACGTTCTCTGCAGGTTGTCTTGTCCTGCTCCTTCTGTCCCCACCGCTGGCTACCAGAGCTGTGCCACCACTGTTTTTAGCAGAGGCTACTTGAAGCCATTCCAGGGGAAGCTGTTGCCATAGCTACCTTGGCTGTGACAGTTACCATTTTCTCCTTCTTGTTAGCTTGTGGTTTCCCTGATGTTTAAGGTAATAGCTGATGTTCTGTTTTCTGCCGAGCAGCTAGGAAAATATTGGATTTTTGTTGATGTCTCTTTTGTTGTTATGGATGTTTGGTTTTATATGTTTGGAGTAGGGTGTGTGTGTATATGTGTGCGTATGTGTGTGTGTTGTAAGATAAGGTAAAGCTGCTTCAAAAGATGTATATTAGAGCAAAATAATAATAATTTTATATAATAATATTTTTGTATGTAATAATAATTTTGCTCTCCTATAATATTAGGAGAGCAAAAGCCAAAAATACACATACAGTTGCTGAACTCCAATTTTAAATTTGGGTCTAGTGTTTGAATTTAGTCCACTTTTAGCCTAATTTTGCAATAATGGCTACAGCTGGGTAGCTTCTGCAGGAGAAAAAAAATGGCTGAGCTCATTTCACACTGCCTGCAACCCCTAGAGCCAGGACCGGGGCAACCTGGGCTGAGTTTGAACTGGACTCAGCCCCAGGGTGCCTTTGCAGAACAGATGGCTGGGTCAGGCTGAGGTTACTTTATCTCAGCCTGCTCTGAAAATAACAGGGCAGGGCCAGCAGGCAGCAGCCACACCTGGTGGCACCAGCAATCCCATCCCATGTTTCTGTCCAAGGCTGTAAACACAACACTTAACATACACCTGGTGCACCAGGTGCAGATTAAGTCTACAGAGAGATGGGAGGTGGCCTGTTAACAGAAATCAAAGTGAGTCCCTGGCCTGCTCCTTCCTCTCTTTTCCTCATCTCAAGAGGACACGATTCTCAGCATTTGCTTGGCTTGGAAATGCTCATGAGATTATAAAAAGCAAACAACACGATACTCAGTTTATCAGCGCACAGGACTGTGTGATTTGGGTGGCTGCCAGCCTGTTAGTGGCTGTACAGAGCTGATGGTGTCTGCCTGGGAGGACCCTGTGGGCACGTCTGAATCATGGCATGCCATTGCTGGCATCGTCTCTTAGCAGGACATGCCTCTGAAGGGGGTGCGTGGCTTCCCCCCTCCTCACTGGACATGTAGGCCCACCCCTGTGCCTGTGCTCCCCAGATCAAGATGAATGCCATGCTGGAGACCCCCGAGCTCCCGGCCGTGTTCGACGGGGTGAAGCTGGCTGCAGTGGCTGCCGTGCTATACGTGATCGTCCGGTGTTTGAACCTGAAGAGCCCCACAGCCCCGCCTGACCTCTACTTCCAGGACTCCGGGCTCTCGCGCTTTCTGCTCAAGTCCTGCCCTCTTCTGACCAAAGAGTGAGTAGACCTCATACCCTCTGTTTGCCCACCTGCTGATCCGTTTGGCTTTGTGCGATGTTTAAAGAAGATCCTCTCACATTGTGTCCTTAAGGCATCAATGGAAAATGGCGTCATTGGTGTTAAAATAGCCGCGGTCTTGATGGCAGTCTGGCGTTTGAATGCTGGAGGGTAGGAGAGAATCAGATCTTTGTTGCCTGGAAACATCCCTTCCCCTACAGTATGGTGTCATTATCCATGACAAGGACTTTATAGAAAACAGTCATCATTTTTAGGTAGATACAGAAAACTAGGACAATATTCTGTCCTTTAGCAAATGCCCTGTTGCCAGTTCTAGGACAGAGAAACCATCCTTGCCCAGAGTAATTAATAAATAAAAGCACAGGCTTATGAGTTGGATGCTCCCTATCTGCCTTATTGGAAAATGCACTGAGGTCAGCTACAGAATGCACTCACAGAGAGACTGCTTCTGTCCAGGCTTTTCCCTCCGTCCTGGCATCCCCTCTCACCCCCTCTTTGGGGCTGGCTACACGGGCTGAATGATTCTCTCCTAGGAGCAGACAAATGGGCAACAGGGACACCTGAGAGTTGGGTTCTGTCCCTCTAGCTGTCTAGGTAACGTTCACGTGCTGCTGGCAGCGGTGAAGAGCGCCCACCTTGGGCTCTGGGTGTTTGGGGTGCTCGTGTGCAGTTTTCTCACACTTGAGACGGAGATGCCATAGCCCCAAGTCAAGAGAGACGTTGCCTAATAGTGGCAGAGTGCCATGTGCGACATAAATGTCATCATATTGAATTTGGAACTGCCCCTGCTGAGGGGACCTCACACTACAGTGGGTGCCACCACCAGGCACAAGACCAGGAGGGCTGTGTTCTCATACGGTGTTTGCAGTAAAAATGTGCTCTGCAGGGGAAGAGAAAGAACTGGAAAAAAATAAAAATATCTCTATAAAATAGGGTGTGCATAGAATCTGTATGTTTTGAAAATTGTCCAGCATTTTTTCATACTCGTATTTTTTTTTCTTTTTTAAAAACACATATACAGCTACAAATCATACTCGTATTTTGAATGTTTCTTCAATACTTAATTTAAATGATTCACTAATTTGGACTGGCTAGCGACATTTGTACCCACTTCAGGTTGGGTAAAACCACTAGGCCCAGATCCTTGATCATTGCATTTTTAGAGAGCTTTTGAAAACCAAAATAATTAAAACTCGGCAAGTTTATATGCAGATGAGCGCAAATTGCCACCCAGCTTCGGTTCCTGAGTAATTAGAAGGGAGGAAGCAGGCAAGAGCTGCCGCTGCCCGGGCTCCGGAAAAGCATCATGGAAGGTTTGATTCCATACTGACTGTTCCAAGTATAAAAGAAAGCTGATCATGGCAGATTTTGCCTCCTTTTCTTTTTTTCCTTTTAAAAATAATCCATTAAGTACAACAGTTTCTCCTTGCTTTTTTTCCCTCCCTGGGACACTTTCCTGATGAGCAGCCACGGTGCTGACCTGGTGCCATGTGACCGCCATTGCGATGGTCCCACCCACCTGCTGGTATAGAAGTGCATCCCTGGCCCCACGTCCTTGGACTGCACGGCTGTGTGTAGACTGTTAGCACCAACCTGAGCCAGTGCCATCAGCATGGAGCCCCAGGTCCTTGGCCGATTGCCGTGCTCTCTCCTGGTAAAGCCTGAACTAGGGAGGGTAGAGGTCGGCCCAGGACAAAGGCAGACCTGAGGCTTGTTTGGGAATTAGCTACGGTGTGAAGGTGGGTGTGAAGGGCCAAATTCCCCGAGACTATTTACTTTCAAAACCTCTGATTATAGGAGCAGCCCTTTTAGAGCATGTTGAAACATCACTTAAACAGCTAAATTCCAAATACCCAGGCACTCTGACTTGAACATGACAAGTGATTCAGGGGCAAAAGGATTTGTTTTCTTCCTCCTCCAACTTTTAACTAACCTCTGATTTCTGACTTAGATTCTGATTTTAGGAATCACTATATCCTGTGTTCACGTAGGATATCACAAAAATGTTTTCATGTTACGCTCTTTTTATCCATGTTACCGCATTTGAAATTTGTTGAGTACCTCTCATAGACATTGTACCATTTAATCTTCTTAACAACATTGAGGGTAGATTCATTTTTCCTCCCATTTTAAGGACAAGGAAACTGGGAGTAGTAGAGAGAGAAACTGAACCCAAACCTGGACTGTGACTTCAGAATTGGTTCCCTTCTTATCCATGGGAAGTGGACAGGGACTTTTCTTGGGGTGCAGTTGAGAGAACCGAGGCAGAGAGCAATAAAAGGCCAGCTGTGATGAGGGTCATTAGCAGGACTGGCCCCCGGGTGGCCTTCAATTCCCACATGACCCTCTTTCTATTTCTGTCACTCTGTTGGAAGCCACCGTCCCCTGATGTTCTTTGTCTGTGTCACATTTCTGTAACGGCCTCCCATGTGTTTGAAGTTGAGGGCGGAAACATGTCTGTTATGGGTAAAAGTGCTTCTCCTGGGACTTTGAAGATTTTTCCTGTGAGGAAGCCTGTCTGCAGCCTTCACAAGCGCCTGGAAAGTTCAGTTAACTGATCGACAACACACTGTTGATTTCACTCAGTAGTCCCGACTGCAAGCAGCCAGTTATGATGACTTGTGTGGAATCAGGACATGTACCTTGCTGATCTGGTATAGAAGAAAAGTTGATGAAAGGTGAACATTGATAGGAGGTTATGAGATTAGGGATTTTTCCCCCTCTCAGCATTAAAGTCAGTTTGAAAATCTGTTTTAAGATAATTTACCCAATGATACATTACAGATGAATCTTTTAATGTCTGGAGGAAAACTTTACTTCAATGGGATGATTTGTCTCTTGTTCACTTAGCAACAGATCAATATTTACCTAATGATTCATTTTTTGTTCCCAAGAAGTGTTTGCTTTTAGTGAAGCAAGCAGACTAAAGTTCACTTTAGAATGATGAGAAAATCTAGATGGTGATACTAATCTACATTTTTTCTGAATAAAAAATTTAATGCATATTCATTTTTTAAAATGGAAAATAAATCACACACAAATCATCTTATAAGTATTACAGCTCTTTTAGAATTTGTCTAGCATGTTTTCTGATTTTTACTGGGAAACCCCCTACATGAAAAAAAAATCATCTGTAATTCTCCTACCTGGAGATAATGCACTGCTACTATTTTGGTGATCATCCCTGTGGTTTTTTTCTTCTCTGTATACTTGTCCCCACAAAATCAGGATGATATATATTGTTTGGTAACCTGCTTTAACACTTGGTATGCCATGGATATTACCCACACTGCTGCTACACATCTTCTAACATTTGATTTTTCACAGCTGCAGAATTATTCATTTAAATTTCCTAACGGCTGTTGGCAGCAGTGGTGTAGAGACAGAGCCTTGAGTTGAAGTTTGGACTAGGAGGTAAACCTAGGTCTTCTACTTAGTTTAGAAACTAGCCACTGGACCCTGGCCAAAGTGACAGCCCCTCTGGTCGCTGGTTTCCTTCTGCATAAAATGAAATAGGCATCTCTCTGATGTTGCCTTCAGCACTAACGTGTTCGGATTCTGGTACCCTTGCTTTGTTAGCAAGCATCAGAGGTCTTTTTAGAGGAAGGACCCTGGGAGAGGGGCCCTGACTACAGTGTAAGGACAGGAACCTAAAGAGAATGGTTTTCCTGTGTGTCTGTCCTCTTCTAACTATTCTGTCTCCTGTGCTCCAGGGCAGACTGGCACTGTCTCCCTTGGGCTTTCCTTTTTTTAAAAGTACTTTTTTGAGCCAACATTTACATACAGTAAAAATGTAGATCCTAAGTATACAGGTTAGGACCTTTTGCGTATGTGTTCAGCTGCGTAACTACCTGTCCTTTGGGCGTTTACAGGAGTGGCCCCAGTCACCTCCCTGTGTCTGACCCACCCATCTGTCGTCATACCACTCCAGTTGGCTTCCTCGAGTAGGCCAGCGTCCAACACGTCCAACAGGCCAGCACGCAACAGCGTGACCCAGGCCCACCTGTCTAGATTCATCACTCCTGGCATCTCTTACTGCTCACGAAGTGCCTGCCCCTGGGCTGTTGTCCCCTGGCTACAACAAATCCCCTCCCGTCTCTCCCCACCAAAATGCCTCTTATCCTGTAAGAAAAGCTCAAGTGGGATCGATTCTGAGATGCTGTTCTCTGACTTCCCCCGCTCCTCTCCAGCCAGGATGAGCCCTTCTTCCATCTTCCTAGCATGTTTGCCTAGCATGTAGCTTCTGTGTCCATTTAGAACATTCCATCTTGTCTTGTGTGAATTGGTATCTCTTTTATCACTGGAGGATGTGTACACCCCATATCAAAAGCCACACTCTTGGGGAGACAGAACAGGATTTCTGGCAGTTCCAAATCTCAAGTACAATGCCATTCTGTGTCTTATTTTCCATAAACAGGCGTAGGTGTGAGATATTCTCCTTTTGCCGAATGCCATGTGTGCTTGGCAAAAGAAACAAACTGCACTGTCTCTGGCTTGCTCGGTGGTGCTCTAGGGAATCAGGTGTACCTTCAGCTTTGACAGGGCTTTGTTTATCTGGGAAGGCTCCACTCTGGAGCCTTGCTGGAAGAATATGGATTTTTTTTTTTTGGTCTTAAATTGAGACAGGGCAACCCCAGGCCTAGGCATGATGGCAGTTTGCAGCCTCACCTTTCCCTGGGGACCTGGCTGCAGTTTCTGTCAGCAGGTCCAGGTTGGAAAGTAGAGACAGGCAGCAGGTGCCCTATCTCTGGAAGCCTGCTATTAAAATTTATAAACTCCCCTGTGGGAAGCCAGGCTGCTGCTTTTTCACTCATGCACAGGCCTGTCGGTGTGGGCCATGGTGTAGCTAAAGATGAAGGCATTTAGGAGAAGCGTGATGGAGCACTTAGCTCACAGACAAGCCTTAAAATGGAGAGCTGAGGTGTCTTCATTGGGTGCAAGAGACATCTAGAAGCCCCTGCAGGGTCCAGAGAAGGGGA